GACATTTTACCTCTGGGTGACATCTAATACCCAACTGTCTCCATATGCAGTGCAACCAGGTCTGATCATGACCCCTCCCCCACCATGTATTATATCCAAAGCATGCTTAATTTTTGAGATTTCTATAATAGGCTCATGTAATGTATTTTATCTTTAACTGGTTAAGAAAAGGCATAAAAATCCTATTTTTAAAACATATCCCAAACAGTATTATCCCTTTGTGGCATATATTCCCAGATCTCTGTACTTTTAAGCTTGACTGAATGCTATAAAGTAGATTTTTATTTATGACATTTCCCCCCACACAAATATATTTTATTCCTGAATTTTATCAGCTTAATCTTGCTGACACTCATATTTCATACTGAATTTAATCCTTCTAAAGACTGAATTTAGAAAATGTGTTAACATTCTCCATAAAGGATAAACAGAACTGCTTTAGTACATTTAAGTCCCCAAATTCATAGCATCTACAAGCATTCGAAATTTATGATGGGGGATGGAAAGAAAACTGCCTAACTTTCTTCACATGCAAATGTTTCTTACTGTTGTGAAACTCCTTCAGACTCATGATTAAATAGTTTGGTCTTCTTAGTATTCTCTGCCCACTTGGCTCTTTAGTTTGCAATGCAATTTGTGATGCATTATATCAGGTAAGTTATTAAATCTGCCCACGTGCCCTTGTAAATATGGAATTCATTTAAATGAATAATGCACAGAAAGAGACACCTCTGCATAGTATTAGAACTATTTCTCTCTCCTCCTTCTCCAAATAGGTGCCTTCCTAATAACATTTCAGTATTTCTGCCTTTTCTGGGCAAATGATAAAAGTTAAAACACTGGTTTGAATCTTGCTGGAAACTGTCTCTTAAAAAAAAGAAAGAAAAGAAAGAAAAGCCCATTCCTGATCAGTGTGCTTTTTCTTCCTTTTGTTTTGTTTTGTTTATGAGATATAAATACTGAAACATTTATGCCAGCAAAATGCTAACACAGCACAGAGTGCCAAAGTTTTCCCATGAGATAAAAGACATTTTAAAGGTGGAAAAAATGCTACTGCTTGAGCAGGAGTGTATATCTTTTTCTGTATAAAAGTGCTTAAGCATTTTGTGGTCATGTAGCATCATCAAAATGCCTGAGCAAATTTCTGTATACCCTGTGACAGCTATGAGGGAGCAATGCTATTTAACACTACCGTACAGTACTCTGGAAGGAAATCCACAGCAAGACAATTTTGGCAAGTCATCCCAGGACAGAGATTTATGATTGGCATGAACTAGCATAACCTAAGAAACCCCAGCAGAGTCTACAGTCCTATTTTGTGCAAAGGTGTAAGTTCAGAAGGGCAGAAAAAACCCATTACACTGTGATGGGCTACCAACAATGTTAATAGCTTCACCTTTAATTTAACTCTTCCTTTATTTTTATAGCACACTTTTTAAATATGCCTCAGTTATTAGCAGAGATTTAGCTGTCTCTTAAATCCAGAGGGCTTGCCCTCCATTTAGACATTACAAATGTCAACTTGTGGAGGTGCATGCTGGCTCCATCAGCAACTTTCCTGCCTGACCTGGCTCCACTCCCAACCTGCCCATGATGAGCAGGATGGTCCGAAAGTAGAGTCTGAAGAATCCACCCGGTAACCGGGAACAGCGATTGCATAGCCTTCCTGATTGCCTCTTCAGCACGCAGTTAGAATCCTATTTCAAACTCTTCTGATCCACATGGGGTGCAGCTGGCATGTGTGAAGAGACTGGGCAGTGCATACAGCCCTGTTCCCCCTGTATGGGTTGGATCTGTAAAGCTTCTGCAAAGATGCATAGGCCATCCCTCTCTGCTGCAGTGCACTGCATTCTCTGGCTAGCCATTTACGGCTCGCTCTGTCTCACTTGTGCAATCAAACCTCTGTGTTTCTCTTTTCTCCTTTCTCTTCCTCTTCCTACGATGACACAGGATTGATGGCAAGGCTTGACCACTGTATACCATATGCTATGATATGTTTAAACTTTTTAAGTGGAGAAGAGAAGCTTTTGGCTTTTTCTCTAGCCTGCCCTCTTATGCAGAGGTACTTTTTTGGGGGTGGGGGTACATCTTCACAATTAAGGCAAAACTAAACATAATAGGGCAGGCCGTTTTACCTGTTTTTCATGCCTAAGATCATTTGGTGTAGTTGACTGGTCAAGCACATGTTTTGCATGGATAAAGTTCTTAATTCAGCTCATAGCCTGTCCCATGAAAAGGAATTTGAGTGGAATGTGTGCTGGAATTTTGGAGGTCTGCTGCTGATTAGGGAAAACGATCCTGGCAAAAATCTGGTGATATGACCAGGGATGTGAAAGGGTTGTATAGTATGGGAATACTGACAGAACTTGCTTACTGTCATTTGTATTCAGCTGGACCTGGTTTCCTTGAACTCTGTTAGTGGCCAAGAAAATCTAAAATGTTTTATTTGATAGTATTGAAATAGGCCAGTTGGAACTTGTCTTAGCGTCTCACTCCTGATTAATTCTTAGTTGTGGGCCAAAGCAAACATTAAATCCATTATCTAGTTGCTACAGACTCCCCTGCCCACTTTTGTTGAATTTTTGCTTGCGTAGGTGCAGCAGCCCAGTATGTGGGAATGTGGTATGGGGATTTTACTATCCAGACTTTAAAGCCATGCCTTTAGAATAATGTGTGTTTACCAGTGCCAGTTCCAGGTTTTGGTAGGCTCTTGGACCAGACTGGTGGCGTACCTGCTCCGTTTTGATTGTCTGCTTCCAACAGATCAGTGAAGTCAGTTCGTGCTCAGCCAATGGCCCTGTCTCTCCCCATGGTCACCAGCCCTATTGATCCTTTCCCTCCATCCCATCTGTGCTACTATAGGCCTGCTTGGCAGGAAGGCAGAGATCAACACCCTTGTCTGGGCCAGGGAGAGAGTTAGTGAACAAGCATGTTGCAGTGGCGAGGAGGAGGAGGAGCAACTGCAAGTCTTTTGTGAGGGCGTTCCTGCATGTGTGGAGGGTGGACTTTCTGCAGATGCATAATCACAACTATTTATTTATTTATTAAAACATTTCTATGCCACCCCATTCGCCGAAGCCTCGGGGCGGCTACTCTTGTTGTCCCCTGCCCTTTCAATGACATTGTGGAAAGCAGAAGTCATGTTCTTGCTTTCCATGCATTCCTTTAAACAGTACGAGTATGATTCTTTTCTTTTCCAAGCAAAGCAAAGCAAAGCAAAGCAAAGCTGTACCACTGGCAAAACCTCTTCTTGACTAGACACAAACTGGCCTTATTGATAAGTTGAAAGTAGATTAGCAAGATGTATCATGCCTGTGTACTCCCACTATCTGTAATGTTACACCAGTGTTCTGCTGCTCCCACATCAGGATCCTTGCACCTCTATTGAGGAAAAAGACTGAAGGGGGCAGATGGGAGTGGAGTGACAAGCATGAATTAGGCCCTGTACTTATTTTTCCTTTGTTTGTTCTTGCTTAATTCTGGTCAGATCAAATGCATAAACCGTTCTGAATGTAATTTTTCAAGCTTGATTGAGTTTTTTCCTTTTTGACCTTCAAAGAGTTTTCAATTTTCAGGAATTTAATAATAATAATAGGATGATGAGAAAAGGGAGATTTTCTATTTTAATGCTTAAGTGAATGTTGGAAGAACACTTTCTCTTTAAAAAAAACATGAACACAAGGGCAAGGCAAAGGCATCTAAAATTTTGTGACTCAGGATGTCTCTATAAAGTAGCAAATAAATTGTGCCTCTGATTTATTGCCTGTTCATGTAACTTTTTAAACGAATCAGCAGATTGATCTTGCAGCACGGAGCCCCTTGTTCACTTTGCTGCTTCACAAAACATTTATGACATATTTTCTGCTCCATTTTTCTCTTGGCAAAGTTGTCTTTGCTGAAATTTACAAAACTTCTGCTGTAGATCAAGTGTGCATTCACTGAGAGCTGGCGATGCAGTCTGTGTACGGGTGACAGGTTGCAGTATGAATGGTTGATGAATTTCTCCTGATTATCCAATTGGCACAGTGTGTATGGAAGCCGTGAACACATGGCCGATCCAGCTAAGCAGGGCCCTAGCTCCACACCGCTGTGGACCTGAAAGAACAACTGATCTATATAAGGAAGGCTGATCGGGAGGCAAGCAAAGAGACCATCGCAGGTCTCCTCTTGGTTTCCCTTGACTGATTCCTCTACAGTGGCCAGAAAAGAGAAAATGTTCTGTGTGAAGGAGCCATGGCAAGTGTGTGACAAATGACATCCATTTCTCCTATAGATTTTAATGTCCCTACATTGTGTTTATCTAGCGAGTCAATTTGGAGGTCAAAACTTAGGATATGAGTTTAATCAAAAGAGGGTGCTGCAGTCTGAGCTAGAACAGAGCAGCCTCAACTGCACCCACAAAGTAATTGCATGATTCTGCTTATCCCACTTCTCTGAACTGTGACAGGGGTGCTGCCCTTATGTAGGTTTGATTTCTTTTCATTTTGAAGGAGGATATGCATAGCCGAAGTGGAGGCAGAGCTTAAACTTGCCAAGAGACCACCAATTCCACTGTTCTTCATGAGATGTTCTGAACTGAATGCCTATGCCAAATGTGCTTCCATTATCCTTACCTTTCTCTCTCTCTCTCTC